ATTTTATGGCGAGGTATCCAAATTTTTAGAGTCAAGGAAGGAGCCTCCAGTCTCCACAAACTTAAAATTTTATATTGCTTTTCGGCATTGATTAAACTATATGCAAATAATATATATATATTAAATTGAATTCCACTTTAATAAAATAATTACTTATATTAAAAATAATTTTATCTTTCTATATTTATTTTTATTTAATAAGATATTTTATTCAAAAGTATTTTTAAAATAAAAATAATATTTATTTTTTAAAAATTAAAAATATTTTATATTTATTAACATCTAATATTTTAAAAATATTTTATATTTTTTAGCGGAAAATGTTTTTTGGTTAAAATTTTCATCCCCAACCCTCCTTTACAAAAGAAAAGCCGCACATGACTACTCAGTACACCAGCTGGATCCTACTCACAATGGTATCCCAAGTATGCGTCTCACGAGGTAACTCTGGACTGAGGTTAGCTATAGTCAAATCCTCTGCACGCTGATTACATTCCTTAGGCTGTTAGGCACGTGACCAATCTTCAAAATGATAGTCCTTCTTCGGCTGGATCATGGTAGAGTCAAGCATCGCCGTGCTCTTAGGCATCAAATATGCAATGAACGCTAATCATGAATTCAGAGCACTGAATGCATGCCACCGTTATTTAAGAGTACGTAGTTAGTGATGCGGTCGTTTAAAAAAAAAAAAAAGATTCAGTAGCGATTTAATGCAACGGTTTTGGTCCAAACTGTTGCAAGACCCCTGGCTTTTGGCGGGAAACATAATAGCAGCTCTTATAGCAGTATAATTAGGGCAAACCGTTACTAGGATTGTAATTGTGAAACTTGGTAGCGGTTGGGATGAAGTTGCTATTATATTTGTAATGACTTTAATTTTTACCCAAACCACAACCAAGCTACCTTAGATAACAAATAGTTACCTTGGTGGTGCTTCGTGTAATCATTTACTGCTAAATCATTATCATTTTAAAAATGCATTAATGATAGTCTTACCTTGATGTTATGACTCGCTGCATTTTAGGTAGCGACTTTCGGCTCAAATCACTATTAAATAGGACCTCTTTATCTTTTTCACTTTTGGCAAAGTTTCCTCTCACATTTGCTTCCTAAAATCTCTTGCCCGTGCTTATTCACAATACTTTCTATAATGCTTTCCCTCCTCTTATTGGTGTTCAAATTAGACAATATATTTGATGGCAATGACCTAAAGGAGCAGCCTCGACAAGGAGAGTGATGAGGGTGATTTAAGTGTTAAATATAATGCCTGTCTTTATATTATTAGGACAACACTTTAACACGCTGTTATGATAACTAGGATTAATTAAAATTTTAAGTAAAAGTTATCACAAACCTAAGAGTTTAAGAGTAAATAGTTTAAAATATTTGAGATCTCAAGAAAAGTATTTTTTGTAAAGACATTTGAGATCAAATTTTAATTTAAAATGAGTTAAACAAAGTAACGAAAGCATGAAAACTAGTTAGCATTTGAAAACAAATTGAAACAGTCTAAAATTTTTTCAAAAGCTAGCCTGTTTGCCACAGCAGATGGCACAGAGAAACTCATCCCTCATAAAGCATTACGTCGTGGTGCAACTGTCATGCGTTGCGGCATGTGCCTATTATCACGACAACACTTCAAAATTTCAAAGCCCTCCATTTCACCATCCTATGTCCAATTTGAGTGATTTAAATATCCTTACGAATCTCTTTGAGCCCTCTAATTAATGGCATCGATCTCACATCTAAATAATCATTCGTTAAAAAGGTAGACATCCAAATTTAAAATGGTCTGTTTTCACCAGAAAACACACTCAAAGGTGTCCAATTTATACAACCTAGTGCAATTAGCTTTGAAATCATTTTGAACAACTCAAATGGACTATATACATCATATTAGGCCAATCATATCACACAATCAACCATCTATACATAAAATGATTACCAAACTCTCAATTCTCAATAATGCAAAGGAGTGGATAAAATTCAATATAATTATTATTTTGGTAATTCCAACACATATGTAACTCAAATAAATAACTTGTACTACTATCTTGGCCATTCACACACATTTAATCATATTTGCTACAAGCTTAGGTCGAAATGCGCACATGTTCTTAGATTTTCATATAAGTGGAAACTAAAACAATGAAATGCTCCTAACTTGGCACATTATTTTAAATGCTCATTACAAAAACCAAAATGATAAGGGAAAAGAGATATATAAATGAGCTTTTACTTTCCGATCATCCCTTCTTTCTTTTTGCACCTACCAGGGCCCTTACTTATAAAATATAACTATAAAGTGAGATAAACATTTTAGTATTAAAATAATTCACCACTAATAATTAACATGTGCAACTATAAGAAAGTAAATCTAATATACACAAAAACATGCCTCCAGTATAATTTACATAGTCTTTACAATCATCATGATTATGATCATTCTACCATCTGAGCCTCCATATTACCTCGATTGAAATCATGGGCTCTTAGACAAAGTGTGTATTCACAATGGCCCGAGCTCACTTTTAGTGGTAGGATCACTCGACCAAAGGTGTTCTATCTCATTTTCAGACTATGATTTCCCCTATCACTTACGAATCGACATGTTGATATTCCAACATCGCATCATTAATGCTAAGAAGCATTAATCTTCAACGCCATATCCCATTCAAATACTAAGGAGATAATTTTCAATACCGTGCCTTACTAGGCAGGCACTAAGGAGATATATGTTATGTGAACTTTCACTGCCCCTTCCTATAGGTGAACTTACACACTCTAACATGATTGTGCTCGTGCTTTTGAACATAACACATACTTGTATGAAAAGCATAGCTTGCTCATATAAGGGACTTTTCACAATCTATATTGTTTTAAAATAATCACATGCATAAAGATCATCTTTCGCAATATGGCAAACTTTCAAACATATGTAAACAATATATATTTACTCATAAATAGTTAAGTACTTTAATTAAATAACGTAAATTATTTTATTACCTCAACTCTTTTATTACAAAAAAAGTTACCGTGGTTCAATGTTAGCTCTACAAATTCTACACGGATGATAAGGCTTAAGCAACGATCAATCTACACAATTTAGTAATAATTATCAATTATTACTTCGATTACACCCCAAGATTACTAGATTTTGAGTACCTATAACACCAAAAATTCTTATTTAACAATATCAACCCCTCAAATCCATTCCATCAATCATATTTAACATTTGAACACTATAACATAACAAATAATCTATACACATTGTCCTAAAACTACCAATTCTTACATAGAGTTCATTCAAACCCTAGTCAAAAATTTTAAATCAACATAAAACCCATAAACCTGGGGTTGGAGGCTTGATCTCTCCAAGACTTTAACTAAGTTAATGGGTTTGGTTTAAACCTAAAAAAATCAAAATCAAAGCTTCAAGTGTCCCAAAAGTCATAAATTTCACAACGAAGGAAAGGAGAGGAAATAAGAAAATTACCCTATAGTGATTTAAGCTCTAAATGCCTCTAAATCTCTCACAATGTCAAGCCCTAGTAGCCACAAGCCCTTCCTTTGTCGCTCCTTTCGTTTTCTCTCTCTCCTTTCTGATTTCAAGTTTGTTTCACGATTAATAAGTGCAAATTTTGTGTGCATGGCATAGAGAATCCTACACATTTTAGATCTCTCTCTCTCTCTGTGCTCAAGCTCGCAAGAACACCAACCTAACCCTCTTTTAAAGTTGTCCAATGATCCATTAAGTATACTAGTATCCCAAAAACATTATTAATAAAAAAATTTACTTAAAAATTTACCATTCTATCATTATAAATACTTAAAATTCTCAGGATAAAAGTCCAAGGTGTTACACTAATAACGTCCATTACCATTAGTGCATTTTTTTAAAAGTAACAAGTATAATGTGAAATATAAATTTTATTTATAAAAATATAAATAAATAAAAATATTTTTTAAAAATAATCATACTCAAATAAAATTTAAAAACATTAAGTTTACTCGATAATATATGTCGCAAAAGATTTTTTACATCCATTAATACCACGGGCTAGAATATAAATATTATTTTCAAAAGTTTTTTTAAATATGTTATGGAAATCTTACAAGGTTAGTTTCCCAGGACAATATTTAATTTTTTTAGGGTTCAATTTTTAGTTGATTGAACACTTTGTAATCGTTTTTTATGTTATGTTCACAATTATACTTTTTTTTTAATTATTAACAGATATATTATTATGGGAGGCAATTCTATTTGAGGTACTTTCAAATATTAAATATGAGCACCTCTCTCAATAAAAATTTAAATCTTAATTCAACATATTGTAAAAGACTAACCCCTTCTACTAGACACAACTCCTATTAGTTGTTTATAATTATCATTCGACTAAAACATAGTTTTAATTATCTAATTTTATATAATATTTTAATTTAATTCCTTAATTTTATAATACATACTTTTAGTCCTTTAATCATAACATTGTTATAACATTGTTAGTTTTAAATGATTATTTTTATGATATCATTGTTATTTTTTTAAAAAATTAACCTTAATAAATTAATATTTGATAATGCTTTGTTAATAAAAAATTTAATATAAAAAATTTGTGATAAAAATAATAATATTATATTAAATGATTAAAATATACTTTATAAAATTAAATGATCAAAAAAAAGTTTGTATAAAATTAAAGGATGAAAATATAATTTAGCCATTTTATCATTAAAAAAGTGAAACCAGGCTACTTGAGCCCAAATCGCATAACGAAGCCCATAAGCAACTCTAAGGTTTGGAGTTGGGGTGCTTTACAAACCCAGTGGCAATACTTGCTTTTGTTTTTTCTTTTGAAAGCCCAGCGGCAGTAGCCAAGGGCCCAAAATTGTTATTAATGTCGATTAGGCGACAGGTAATTGGTCAGTGATACTGAGTTCATGACAGCCATGTAGGAGCATCCATTTGAGCGTGTGATTAACACGGGGCATCAATATTGCATCGTAGCTGGCTCAGAAGCAGGAGGGAGCGGGGGAATATCTGAGACGCGGCTTGTGGTCGTGGACTGGGAGCCCAACTATCCATCTGCATCGGCATCGCTGTTTGATTTCTGAGGGCATTCACAGGCCATGTCTGCTGCAACTTTGATCTCAAGTCCAGGGTTTCCATATCCGAGCCACTTGTCCTTCTCAACTCGAAGCACTTGTTCCGTTCTGTTTCGCTCTAATCCTTCTAGCGGAACCTTTTCTTCAATTCCACACTCTCTCAATCACCGATTCTTCAGACTAACATCCAGGTCATTTGCCCGGACCTCATCCTTCCATGGCTTCAAGCGCCTTTCCCCTGTCATGGAGTGGCAGGATTGCACGTAACTCCTTTCCCTACACGAAGTTTGACCTTCTCTCTTTTTTTTTCTCCTGTTTTGTATTTTATATGACAGATTCTTAGGGATACTTACACTATTCTACCTATTCCTCGTTTCATCATAAGGAAAAATAAATTTCTATGTTTGGAATTGGAAAGTGAAAGTGTATCAGAACTGATGAGAAGTGATTTATAGTATCTATATTTTCTCAGCGAATGTCATTTTCTCCGATTTATTTTGGATAATGTTCATATTTTGGGAATTTGATAATTCTCAAGCTGAATGTTTAGCCACTAGGTTGACTATCATGATTTTGGTATAATTTCCGGCTTAATCATGTTCTGATGACGACAGGATAACAGTGTTGTAATTGCAGGGTTAAGCTGGAGGTTGACGTGCCTGCCTCGGTTGCCTATGCCTGTTATTCTGATCGTGAAGCCATCCCTCGTTGGATGCCCTTTATTTCCTCTGTTACGGTGCGCAAGATCGAGTCTCAATGCACTGTCATAGTCTCTCTTTACTCAATCACAAGGGGAGGAGACTTTTTGAACCCACTTGCTCCCCTCCCCTTCCCCAATTTTTGAACCCAATAAGACACTTCCTTTCCCTCCCCTCCAGTAAATGTCAGCCAAACAGAGAGGGAGGGGAGCAACTCCCCTTCCCTTCAAAATCCTCCAACCAAACATGCCCTCGAGCTCTTTGTTAAAGTGGGCCTTTAGTTTAGCATCAAGGCATTAATGTTTCTGGTCGAAATGTTACAATTGGAATGTTGAGAAACCAGCAGTCTTCGCTAAATGGTCACAAAGTTACAAATTGCGTGTCTTATTATGATTTTTGCATTGCCTAAATTTTTAATCTACTTCACAGATTTTGCCAGAAAAGCCTGACCTCTCAAGATGGTCCTTGAAGTATAAAGCATTCGGTCGTGATATCGAGTACTCTTGGCTTGCCCGTAATATGCAGGAAATGATCACCGTCCTAACTATAATATTATAACTTCTTAGTAGGTGTTCCTTACTTTATGTTAAAAGTCAATTGGAGTTTGTTATTCATATTATATTGCGTTCTTGCAGCCTATTCCAAATCAGAAAATACACTGGCGATCTCTGGAAGGTCTACCTAACAGGTAATTTACAAGGATAGATCTCCGTCTGCGGAGTAAAAACATGATTGATTACCTTCTGTGGAAATTTCTGGGACTTATCTGTTAAGCCATCACAAAATAAAGAACATTGGACTTGTGAGACTGGAAAGAAAATTTCAGCTGTGCAAATCTTTACTGTTCTCTCCATCTTGATAATGAGGGGTCCTGTGATAGACATGGTCGGTTCTACCTGGACGGGAAATCTGGTATCCAACAGTCACACTTTGTCTGTCTATGCTTCTATATGATTTGGAATATTTTGTTCAAGCCTTTAGGGTGGCTCAAAAACACAAGTTGCGTCTGGCGCTAATTTACTTGTTAAAATTTCATTCATGTCATTATAAATGAAATCTGCACCACAATGTTCTTGTGATTTTGAGTTAATCTTGCTCTGAAGCATCATTTAGTATTCACACAAGAACTTTAACTGATTGATTGTTCCCATGGCAGAGGTGCTGTTCGATTTTATCCAAAAGGTCCGTCATCATGTGTAGTAGAAGTAAGGCTTCTTATATGATGTTGTTTGAGATTTTACTGATTATCTTAATCACAATCTAATTTTCCTAGGATATTTATCCGAAATTTCATTCATGAGGTATACATCGATATACCATAGATCATTTTCCTGAATTTATTTTCCTGTTTTTATTCCTATCAACCTGTTTCCTTTAAATTCAGCTCTGGCTAATGGAAGCTTCTCCATTTGTTTTCTTTCTCAACTGGCCCAAGCTTTGTTCAAGAACTTACTGCTGCATTTGTCCTTTACAGCTGACAGTATCATATGAAGTTCCTCAGCTCTTGGCTCCCGTGGCATCGGTATGTAGTCAGACACAAAAAGACAATTCATGTCAGGATTGTCGATTGGAAGACAGTAAGACAAAACTGAAAGACGTTGTTGTAGTCCATACCATTCCGTCGCCTTTTCCCCATGTCATGGGAGAAAATCAGCAGATTGACGTTTAAATTGGGCTTTAATCCACTCCGACTTTCTTTCATCTATAATATCTTTTGCAGGCACTGCAACCATTTCTTGAAGGTTTACTGCAGCGTGGCTTGGAACGATTTGCTAGTCTGGCCAGGAGATACTAAAGCACCTGGCCTGGCGGGTTCCTTCTGACTATGTAAATAGCACCCACCCTATTTTATTTTGATTGTCCTAACTCTTTTAACACCGGAATAGAAATCAAAAGTGCATTTAAAAAAAAAATCGCTGATTTTGGGTACTGTTTTCTATTTTGGAAAAATTTTGTTATAGTTAACATGCCAGTTTTGGATTTAGATTGATGGTTATCCCATTCTTGAAGTAAAAAGTTTCCTATTAGTGTTGATGGAAATTCCGATCTAATTATGGGAATGAACAACTAAGGTTGAAAGCATGAAGCCATGTCTACCTCAATTGCTATCTTGATAAGACTTCAACAAAGATATGCTCTTAACTTCGCTCTTGCTTAATTATGAGATTATGGGGATGTGTTTATTATTTTGTTCAAGGTGAGTCCAATTCTACAGTCTTATTTGTTAAATAGAGCATTATGTTAGTTTTAGTTTTCGCTCCGTGGATCCAGCTCAGCATATGTAAATTTTTGGTTGGATTCTGAATAAATCGACTGCAGAAAGATCATATTCTTCCCAAAAAAAAAAAAAAAACAAATCGAAAAAATGAATTATCTCATTCGCTAGAATCCGTTTGCACTGCATAATCTCTTTTTCTGGTGTAACAGAAATCCATGATGGCTCCTTCTATTCAGTACTATTTAATTTCTTGGTGCTTCCAGGTATCATGCTGATGACAGCTAGATTCTTCGTATACAACACAAAAGGATTGCTCTCAAGGCCTTGGATTTTTTCTATCGGTTTGTCAATTGAAAGTCCCACCCAGGGATTTCTATTATCTTTATATCAACAATAGGCGACTCTAACATGGGCATGGGTCCAGTGACGATGTAGTACGAGCTAGGGGATGATGATGGTGATGCCTAGAACAGGCGAAGCATCGTTTGAATGATGCTAGCATTTACTTGTTTGCCGTTCGGTGTCTGTCCTTGATTTCTCGTACTAATAAATGTTTGATTACTTTCATTTTCTTTCGGCTCGTGGCCTTCTAGTTACAGCATATATTATTTTTATTTAACCCACGTTTTTCAGCTTACATTCGAGCCTTGCAACCAAGTCGCATTCCAACAAGGGGTGAATAAGACCGAGGTGTTCAGAACAGAAAAAAAATCCTCCGAAATATACTACAAATTCATACAAAACTGGATAATTTCAACTTGGTATTTACACCGCCGTCAACCACCTCCTAAGCTATGCAACCGACACCGGACCAAAAAATGGTTGCTGCTATTCGTGTTATCCAATCTGAAGCAGCTAAAAACAGAAAATGAAACCTCCAAAATGTCACTATTTGACGAATTGTATATGCATCAACTCAGTTGCTAGCACTGCCTTCCAACAAACTCCTCAAGCAACCAAGTGCTTCTGTAGAGAGGCTACAACGTGTCAACCTCTGAGCGGGTGATAGTTCCCTGTAATCAGGGGGCGTGAAGCACACAACAACGACTGTGAGATTGTCAAAAGCATTCAGTCGCAAAGCTTCCATGACTAGGTCTCTGGCACCCTTCTCCGGATCGTCATGCCGCCTCAGGCTTCTCCTAACAAGACTCACCGCATGCTGACTGGACATGACATCCCAAATTCCATCACATCCTATGATGAGGAATTCATCGTCCTCTGTCAGAACCACTCGCCGAAACTCTGGCTCTGCAATCAGAGGTGTGGGAGAGCCCCGTGGAAGCTTCATATCCCAGTCCCCTAGAGCTCGAGTAACCGACAACAACCCATTAAGATAGCCATCGTCTATGTAACCACCTGATTCTTCAACGCGCCTCCGTTCCGATGGATATATAGGCCTGTGATCTTGAGACATGTCAATTGCCTCCCCTTTACGGCAAAGAACTGCTCGACAATCACCCACATTGGTCACCATCAGAAGCCTGAAATCAGCACAAAAGTTCTCTATCAAATTACTATGTAGCAACTGGGAATACCAAATCAAGGATTTGATGCGAGACACTGCAGAGTAGATCAAGTACTACAGATGAATGCAACGGGCGTAACAAGCGGATACCTTCCAAATATCAAAGCTGTAAGTGCCGTGGTCCCTGATGAGCTGCTCACACTACGATCATCAGCCAAGGCTGAGTCGGCCAAAAGGAATGCCTTCCTGAGGGAGTTCTCTAATTCTTGTAAGAAAAGATTATCAACTTTAGATGATTGTGGGAAGCTGGCATCCTCGAAAATAAATCTTATTACATTTTCTCGGACATAAACTGCAGCTTCAGATCCTCCATGACCATCAAACACCTTAGAAATTCGTCAAACACCAATCAGATTTAGTTTTAAGAAAACATTTGCATAGAATTCAGCAAACAAAAACATAGAAGCTAAAAACCGAAAGATTGATTACCCCATAAAATGCACTTGGTTTAGGGAACTTATAAAGTGATCCCAGGTGAGAAGACAAATCGTCTATCATTATATGCTCATCTTCCATGTATCTCCGCGGCCCAATGTCAGCATAACTGCCTGAACGGATGCTGGGTACAAACTGCACAAGAGCAGAATCAAGAGAAGCATGGGGATCTTGTTTTGCAGCTATAACATCCTGCACAGGGATAGTTCAATGCAGATCAGAAAATGTTGCTCAGTGATGTAAGAATTAGCATGACTTTTGCACCAAATTTAAACAGTCCTACAAACTATGAAGTTTGATAAAAAGCAGGGAAAACCATGTTTTTCAACACTCATTCGCGAGCAACAGTTATCCGCGTGCCATAAAATCTATCTAGGCGCCTAAACAGTAGGGAAGAGGGCCGGGACCGCGTCCCTCGCGCACATTCACCAGAAATTCTATCTAATAACATACATAAAAGAATATTCTACCAAAAACATATCTAAAAGAAAATATTCAAAAGGATAATTTTTTTCTTTTTTTTAAAATGCCATGAACAAATTTGACATGAACAGATATAAGCAATTAAATCGGATGCCGGATACTACATGGACCTAGTCTGGAAGCTGGTCAAGCCTCTCTGGAGAAAAAGGTGTCAGGAGGGGTGCTATTCCTAGAACAAACAGGGAGTAATCTAGATGAACTCCGCAGAGTTCAGGAATCTTCATCAACTAAGCCCATAATATGCACAAATTCCTGATGGAGGAGTCAGGGGGGAGGGGGCAGAAATGAAACCTAGTCGCAGAACAACCTCGATTAGAAACAGTACTATATCTCCATTTATTGCCTTCAATATCACGGAAAAATGAGAGAGAGAGAGAGAGAGAGAGATGAAATTACGGGAAGGTTGCTGAAAAACTCACTTGCTGTGAATTCAGTAACGGGGCAGAGACTGCATCAGAAGCACGAACTTTGTCAGGACCGGGAGGCCCGGGTGAGGGCGAGACGAAAGGTGGTTCTTCGTTCTCACGAATACCGCTCGCTTTAGGAATATACTGTACATCCAACAGAGGCAGGCCCTGTTGACACACAACGTCTGCTTCAGCCACCATAAGAATATGATGAAACCTCGACAATTGAACGTTTTAGAAGGATTCTTGGAGCTAAATACTGTTTTGTCAGGCCAGATAGATGACGCACCGTGTTCCTCTTGCTGTTCTTGCTCGGGAATTTTCTCGCAGATTCTTCAAAGTCAGAGATGTTGTGAATCAAATTTCGGGGAGGGAGGTGGGGCTGACCAGCCACATACATGAAAGGGTCAGGGCGGAGGAGGAGGGCAGAAGGGTAAACTTATTCGGTCGAAGGACACGTGTAGTTCCGCCCACCACACGTTTCTGGAGAGGCGTTCTTTGGACACGCGTGAAGGGGTTGCCTGACCGACACGTGACCTTTGAAACATGGAGTTGCGAGCGTGAAGGGACGCAAGCTGCTTTACACGTAACATGTGATAGAGGCGGGCCCGGGGGCAATATGGGGAAGTTATTTTGCAGCCTCCCGGAATGCTTCAATTTTAAACTGTGGTCTGTTACCGAAACAGGAAGCCCTGTTTATGGACAAAAGTTCCCTTGGCGAAGTAGGTCAGGGAATTTCAACTGAGCCTTCCATTCGCAGGCTAGATGCGAGAGAGTGGTTACAGCTTCCTTTTGAGATGAGATTTAAAAAAAAAAAAAAATCGTTTCACATGTCCCAACAAAATCTGTTCCTTCTTTATGTTTCTTTTATCAAATTTAAGTATTAACCAAAATCCGGACCATTAATTATCCAGCGATTGAATGGGCTAAGGGGGTGCGGGGAAGTGGAGGTGGAGGCCACGCGTGCGCGACACGCCACGATGGGAAGAGATGGACATGCTGGATGCCTCGACTTATACGCTGGAACACGCGGCGGCGGAGTTTGTATCCTTATCCAGTATTATCCACTTCACTCACAATTCCCACCCTTCACTAACCATGCATTTTATTTTAATGTCAGTTTCATAGTTTACGATCCCAGCCCTTTTAGCCACTGCTGTGTGTCCAAGTTTAACTTGTAATTAATTCCATTATTAGTTAATACTCCCTTCATTCTTATTATAGAGCACCTTTTAAGATTATTTTTTGGTCTTTAATATACGACACATGATAATTTATTTATTACCATTTTTTATTTTTATCATTGTTGTAAATTTAATTTTATAACTCATCATATATTATATATTTTCCTCCTCCTATTTTTAATAGGAATAAAGTTATATTTTTTTAATTTTAAATATATTTAATGAGTTAATTGTTATTTTTTTAATTTTAATAAAATAATTAAAAGCGTTTTATAATGAGGATAAGATGAAGTGTTTTATTATCAATAAACAAACTCATATTGTATCATGCGTAACCAGCACCATTGGCTAAGCAAAAGAGTTCACAAGAAGTTTACAAAATTATAACCACGTGCAGGAGTGTTTACAAGAAGTGACAAAATCGAGACCACCTTATTTTATATCTTATCTCAAAAAATAAATATAATTAAATTTTTATTTCATGTCTTGTTCCATAAGTTGCCCCTTCTTATTTGAGATCAAGATGAGATGGGAGGTCTTGATGAAGCAAACAAATTTTTGTAAAAGAGAGACTTATATAACAACATTTATTTAATTACGTATCTTATTAAGTCCAAAACCACAATAAAACAAGTGCATAAACTTAATTATTAACTACAGTAACTATAATTTAACATGAAAGAGCACAATCATGACAACCACAGCTTAAAGTCAAATACATATTAGTCATATATGACCTCCATGTTATAAGTACGATTGTTTTAAGGAATTTTAAGGCCCAAGACAAAATGAGTATGGAGGCTTGACGCATAAGAGTTTGATGTTTTTTATCGCTAGAAATTAAAAAAAAATTAAGCATTTAGTATTTTGTATTTTGAAAAATAAAGCTTGGATTAAAAATGAACAAGCATGCCTGATAGTGAGTAGCACATAGACGAAAACGCACATCTCCTGCTCAATGGTGCATGCTCCAATGCTTTGGTTGGATCCAAAATTATAGGGGAAAAAAAAAAAAAAGACTGCAGCAAGAAATGTGTCCAATGAACGATACTTTCTTTAGGCTTTAAAATAGAAACAAGAAAAGGAGAAAAGATGGAAGAGTGAAGATGAAAAATAAGAGAGAATGAGAGATGATGATGCTAGAATGAGAATTGTAGAAAGAGAATAAAAAATAATTAATGTCCCAGCCAGCCTAATAATTAAATATTATTTTGAGGGGGATTAAGGATCATTTGCGCCCATAAACTATACGCGAAAAATCACAAATGATCATAAACTCAATTATGAGTTATTTATATTTCTTAACCTCAAATATTTTAATTTCCTTCACCTTATTGTTTGTTGACAGTGTTTTGACTGTTTGTTATTTTGACTTATGATTAAAATAAAATATTAAATAATATTCAATAGTGCATCCCACCATTTTTAATATTTTTTATACTATAAAAAGATTAATTTCTCCCTATCTTCACTCTTTCCCTCCCTCCCCTCCCTTCCTGAGCTAAAGTGTGAAAATGCACAAGCCATCTCCTCTTCTTCTTCCTCCCTTACCTTGCATCTCCCTCTTCCAGCGCCACCCCCTCCACCCTTAACTTATTTAAAAAAAAAATTATAGTTGAAGAATAAAAATAACTTTTAACTCAAGAAAAAAAATTATAATATATATAGGACAAAATATCTCAATAAAAATCCTATATCTGTCTCGTCTTAAACATATTTTTATTCTATTCTTTAAAATTACACACCATTTTTTATTAGGTCAAGATAGATTCATCACGATATAATTGAGACAAAATTAAGCTATTTAGGACGAGCACAAACATGAACATCCTTCGTCATGTAAACAATTCTATATTTCTATTTCATCACTGCTAAACTTACCAAGTCTAAGTTGTCATTGATGCCTATAAGGTATCATGTAGACAATAACTCACAGTGCATTTGCTTACTAGTTTCTAGCATGTTGTCATAATTTTCAAGGTAAATTTATCCTCTTACTGCTCTGATTACCAAAATTATCATAAATCCTAGTCACAATTAAAGTACTTTTCATGCGTCAATTTTAGCCTTAAAGTTCATGCTAAGGGGTGTTTTTCCAAATTGCTGTGAATGTCACTTGGCAGTGAATGCTAGATATTGAAGAGTAAAAAAATTAAGGTAACTAAGACGAGCATCTTAAAATTGATGTATGGTTAAAAATATTTATCATTATCACGTTTTAAAAAATAAAGATCAGTGTGATATCTATGGATGAGAAAATGAAAACAGAACATCCATGACAATTTTGACAGGAGCAAGGAAAACAAAAAAGACACTTCAATTAATGATGAGGATGCAATGTAACAATACCAGCGCCTTCAAAAAACGCAATCATTGTTTTAAGTGGACCGGAGGCTTCCAATCATGCGAGGCCTTAGAAAGTGTGGATTGTGCTTTTGGATATTGAAACACATCTCACGTAATGGTGTCCTAAATTAAAATTTAAATTATCACATTAATTATAAATAATTAAAAATTAACTTAAAAAATTATCTTATAAAAAATTATTTTAAATAAGTCATTAACATGTATTTTCAAAAACTATTTAAAATAAAGAAATTTTAAGTTTTAAAAATATTTCAAGGACTCACATATTTAATTAAACATGTATGGAAACATGAGGTTCACTAAGCATTAAATAATTATCACCTAACCATCATAATCTATATATCATCTATCTATCAATAACTCATCACATGTATGAAATTTTCTTTTTATTCATATATAGTTAATATCAACTACTCCCCCTTGAAGATTAAAACAAAGAGAAGACCATAATAATATTTTAATTCTCAAATCATATATATAATAACTATTTTCACTACACAAATATTTTTGCCTACTAATATAAATATATTTTCAACCAACACAAAACTCATAATGTAAGTAGATTAAGAATATATCATTTTAATTGACAATATTATAAACTGAATATACATATCAAAATAAAAGAAAAAAGGCCTACAGAAGTGATTATCACTTAACGTAATGCTCATTTTCTTCATTTTTTTTAGATGAACTAGCTCTTATAACATGTTAAAAAAGAAGGATGAGTACAAATACTCAATGCTAATAGATTTACTCACACATACAAATACAGTAATGCACGCCAACATATTCAATCTCTGACTCATCGTATTCAATTACATAAACATAGACATATTTCAAAATTCAATTCTTATAATTGTCATATAATGCAATTCATTCAACTCATTCACGATTAAATTCAACCCACCTTACACATTTTCCGAAACATCCAAAGAGGATTTTCATACATAGCATGAATTTCACAATTTCTTAATACTACAAAAATCTTTAAACAAGTGTATGAGGGAATTTATATTCTGGGTTACCTCTATCCTTCGAGGTACTCAAAAGGAGAACTAATAGATTCAATCTAATTCCAAACTTTTAAAATGCTTCAAGAGTTTAAGAAAGTTTAGTCTATAATTAGACTACTTAAAAACATTAATTCAATACCAATATCACAATTTTCCCAACCATCCATTTAGTTCAAAAATCCCAAAACTCAAATTTATTAGACAACCTTGTTATCTAATGGTCGCATTAGCTTTATTAGACTCTAATAAGTCTAACTAGACCCACCATTCACTTGATTACTCTCCACATTACATATTTCTAACCTAGGGTTTGCTCAAATCAACAAAAAAAAAAAGAATATAATACCTAAATTATTCATTTCCACTGTTCTAACAAGAATAACATACTCATAACAGCTCTATTTCATCCATATATAATAGCCAAAACTTCCTCAAGGTCAAAACCAGAAGTTCAAAAATTAAGAAAAACCCAAAATTCTCTGCTGTGAGGAATTTTAAAATAAATAGAGAAATACCCTCTAAAAAATATTTAAAAAAATTATCCAGCCTTAGGAAACTCTAAACCTTACCCAATGTATCTTATAATGAAGTCTACCATTGGAAATCTCCCTCAACCGAAACGAATGCTCTGTTTTCGCCAGGCGCACTGTTGCGGGGGAGAGAGGAAGACACGGTTGGGAATGATTTTTTTAAGTGAACGTGGGTTTTTAAAATTAAAAACACGGGCCATGGCATTTTGGGTGGCTGTTAGCTGTGGCCCAATTTAATTATTTATTATTTTTTCCCTTTCCTCTTTTTTTAATATCTCGCTTTACTTTTTTTTTTTAAATCTCCATCCAACATTTTGTTTTTCCTAGGTACTCTAAAAATTGAAAGAATTGAATTAAGTTGTATATTTTTGTTCTAATAAAATTTTTATAACATTAAGATGGTTACAATATGTTAAGTTTAAAATGGTTATAATATGTTGAGTTGAAAAAATATCTTAACTAATTTTATTTAATTTCATTTAACCTCATTTATTTTCTTTTTTTTTTTAAAAAAAACTATGAATCAGAGTAAAGCCTTCAGAATTTAGCTCCATAATAAACCCAACTAATTTTGAATTTATTTTAATGGTTTAGTTTAAATTTTTGTGATGTTATGTCTTGGCTTGAGTTTGAGCAAATCCAGTCATAGGAGGGGGTTTCAAATCCTATACACATATTAAAAACTCACAACAACTAATAATGTCATTGCAATGTTGTTTCAAGATTGGTTTACATGTAATTTAAGGAAGGTTTTACTTGTAGGCTTTGATTTAAGTTAATGCGATAATTCTTAATAAATTTGACATCTTTAGGTCAAGAGGTTGTACCTCCTATACCTATAAACTACAAACATTATAATTTTACAAAGGCTACATTTTGGAATCCAAAAATTAAGATCTAGTCATCATGAGGTTTTTTTTGTGAGAGCTTTCTTTCTTAGTCGACAGGAGTTTCTTTTCTTATAGTCTTTGTTCTATAACACCTTTTTCACTGGCTTCTCCTATAAGAGGGACATTTAGCATGGGTAGGGTTGTGGTTAGATTTTCATCTCTTTTTGTTGGTGTGAGTTGTTTCTTCATTTGATTTAAGTTATTGAGAAGGGAATGGATGTTTGATTTGCATTGATGAGGTTAAGGTTATCTATTTAAAGGACTGACAATTTGCATGACAGTTAATTATAGGTTTTGCAATTTCTTCTTGTAAGCTAAGAGTTGCGGAGGGTTTCGACATGGATCTTGATGATTTTGATTTCTTGTCTCGAGTATTGGCTTGTGCTCCTCAATTTGATAGATAATAGTTTGCAACAAAGATGGGGTTGCTTTTTTGTTATGGTGGTAGCTAGTTTGCTATCATTGCAAATGGTTTGTGTTCTCTCTACATGAAACACGATGCATGAAAGAAGTAAATGTGTTATCTAAGTAACATCTATCATTTATATATGGATGTGATTGTTAGGATGGTTTTATGAAACCCATCTCTATTTTCTTACGTGAATTCTAGACTCTAGGAAATTTCATGACAGTGATAGCATTTATTGTTCTTTGGTTCCATTTTAAAACTTGCAGGTAGTATTGGTGATATCGTTTCTTTTCTTTCTATGTCATTTTCTATTAGGTTCAGGATTTTTTGTCATTGTGTAGTTTCTCTTGTTTATGTTTTGTTCATTGGCCTTGATTTGTCTTTGTAAACTATTTTTAATGATATTTCATGTTTCTAGCAAAAAAATAAAAAATAAAGGCCACATTTTGCAGGGACAAATGAATTGCAAAGCAGAATAGTGCATAACCAAACAATGTAATCGGTTTCAACTTCAAAGCTCTGAACTTAATTAAAGTCGGACAGCTGGAGCCTCCCTTTTCATTTAGCTAACCAACCAAAATATTATGATTTATGTTTTTTTTTTCTTGTGGTTTCTTGATGGCTTCAAATAGAATCATCCAATCCCGTGCAATATTTTGCTCTTTGAATCAAGGTCACACACACACACACACTCACACAAATACATGATGGCGTGTTCTCACGTGTAAGATTAGGATTTAACTTGGGCCCATAAGCATAAAAGATCTCATGAATTTTGCTGCTAACATAACAAAATTTATCCGACGTCGTCTCGACTGCCAATATATATTTTTTTCTTTCACTGAAATAGTCTTTTTAATTAGAGTCGTGCATTTGTGTAGCTTGTTTTATAATTGAGTTTCTGCCTACGGCTTCTTTCTTCTTTTCTTGTATCGCATAATCATGTGATTGCGGAGATCTAATTTCTCCTTTTGCAACGCTCTATTTAAAGATCTCAAAAACTTCACGCGTACATTAGTCTTAAATTAATATTAGAAAGTTGATATAAAAGATTAATATTAGAAAGCCTGGCAAATGGCAAATGTTTGGCAGGAGTGAACAAGATTTCATCCAAACACCTTTCCCCTTGAAAACCAAAGACAACTCTGAAACGAAATTTTTTGCACACCATGTATCCGTTTTTCTCCGCCTGTGTATAAAAGATGATATAATATTTTACAGATTCCATGAAAAATGTTCGATCTATTAAACAATCAAGAAGGAACAGTACCGCGATACAGGCTTATACTTGGCACTATTATTTGAAAATGTATTTTTTTTTTCTTTTGGCTCTGGAAGTGATGATCTTGTTATAAAAAAAAAAAGAAGAATGTGATCAAGGAATGATGTAACTGTGAGTAAAATGAAAGGATGGAAGAAGACACCTTGATCTAAATAATTAATTAGATAGATGGCTGGACATGATTAGACATTAGAACACCAAAAAGAGAAGGGATTGAGAGAAGTAGGTCGCGGGCTTAAGAAATTAATCACGAACGAATTGTGTGCCTTTTAACAGGCGAACCAGTCATGGCCGAGTCTCGCGTGCTCAAATGTTCAGTAAGTACTAACCAAGACCCAGCGCAGTACCATCACTATAGGCTAAGCCGTACAGGGACGGCGCTCCTTCCCTTGTGTTAGATTTTTCATATTAATATATTTTATTAAAATAATTTTAAGTCATTTAATTAAATATTTTTTAAATTTATATATTTATAATTTATTTTTTATCTTTAGTTGTGAATTTTTTTTATATTCCAATATTATCTCTATTATTTTTTTCTCTCTGTTTGTTTTTTTCATTTTTTTCATCTTTTTGTCTGAGCTTATATTTTTTTAGTCTCAAAAGCCTCTCTGTTCATTCTTTTTTCCTTTTTCTTCTTCTTGTTTTCTCTCTTTTTTTTTCTTTTTTTAAGTGTTTTGTTGTATTTTTTTTAATTTTTCATTTCTTTTCCTTTGTTTTTTCTTTCTTTTTTCTCTTGGTCCCTCAATAAAATGACTCTAATATCATGTTAGATTTTTTATATTAAATATATTTAAAGATATTATATTTTATTAAAATAATTTAATTCATTTAATTAAATATTTTTTAAATTTATATATTTATGATTCGTTTTTTAATTTTTAAATGTGAGATTTTTTTTTTTTTTTACTTTAATACCTTATTGCGTTGCCTGACCAGCTCACAAGCTTCTTCTGCTTTTTTTCTTCCCAAGACAAAACTAGCATACAATAGAAACATGAAAGAAGGGTTAGTTTGACTAAAATATTCGACCCAGACGGGGCATTGAAACTTGAAAGAAGGACTGTTTTCAAAACATTTGCAAATTTTCATTACAATACTGTGCATTAGCTTTTTTTTTTTAAAAAAAAAGAAATATAATGCAAAAGGAATGACCTTGAACCAATTCAAGGGATATTAAAGGATTGAAATTGAAGGAAGGGAGCTCTTCAGATATCAGTCATTGAATAAAGGCATTTGTACTAAATATAAAACATCATTTACTTAAATTATAAGACTAATTAAATTAAATAATTAAAGCGTCAAACTCAATATAAATAAAAAAAATTGGCCTTAAAGCTCAATAAAGATCACAAAAAATACACATGCTAAATCTCATCAACTACAAATATTAGACTGTTAGTATTAAGATACGATCTTAAGTAATACCGAAATTTATGCCTAAGTAGTTTGGTGAAATAGATTGTTTATCAAAATAGAGAGATTGTGCCATAAGTTTTACGAAATTTCTGATTCCTCGACATAACGTGTCAAGTTTCAAAGAAAAGTTTTTCGCTATTTTGACACTATAAATAAAAAGAAAAAAATACAAAAGAAACTGGTCAACACTCCATCGAGACTCATAAATTTTAGATTCGTTAACTCTTTTTAATTTTTAGTCTGTAATCTTTTTAATACTTCAATAAAAATCATACACTTGTTCTACTAACGTCTTGTATTTTTTTATATTCGAGTAAATTATAGTAAGAGATTTCGAGACTTTTTTATTATTTATTGAGATTTAATGTCTATGATATATTTGGTATTTATTGTTCAATCACAAAAAAAACTTTATTTATTTATTTATTTTTGGGAGAAGTTATTTATTGCAAGAAAAGAGGTTTGGACTGTGAAAAATCAAAAAAGAAGAAGAAAATTTTCAGGAGAAGGAGACGCGGAGGGGTGAATCGGATAAAGATTAGATAGAAGTTTGAAGCATTGAACGTTGAAGGGTCAAAAAGGAGCTGGGGGGGAGAGAGAGAGAGGAAGAAGCTTGGGACAGGCGCTTACGTTGACTGATCCGACACCGTCACCAGACAAAGCAAATAAAAAGCAAAGAAAGCAAAAGACAACCAACTCAACATTGTCAATTATTTGCACCTCTCTCCTCCTTTCTTTCTCCCTTTGTCTCTTTCCCCTCCTCTTCCGAATCCGAGGGATACAGCACCCTCAGATCCAAGTTCCCAACCCACCCACCTTTTTATTCCTCCTCAATCATTCGTCCCGTCCGTTTCTTCACCTCCGCTGAACATTTCCCCCTGGATCGGTGAGTTTCTCTTCCTGCCCTACCTGCGACGACGAAACTCTGATTGCTTTCAGTTTTTTTGCTTTTTCTTAATTTACATCCTGGTTGGTAGAGTCCGTCTTTAGTTGTTGTGTTTTTCCCGAGATTTCTCAAAATACAAATATGATGCCTTCTTGAAGGCTGATCTCTGGGTCAACATCCTTCCCAGCTGCTCCACTTTTCTTGTTCCGGCTCTTTTCCGTTCTAGTGTTGTCCATTTGTTTTTTGGGTTCTTTGTAGAGAAAATCTGTTTATTATTCGACAAACTGCGTTAAATAGACGGTCATATTTTTTAGTGCCTTGATTTTAGATGCCAAATTTTTTGGTACCTGGTTTACCTTTTTGTCTTGAGAGTAATATGCCCCTGCCACACTTATTTCGCTACACTAGATGGGGTGCTCTGCTGAAATTGTACGATGTTTTTTCCCTGGTAAACCGTATGATGTTTTTTTTTTTTCCCAACAGGACCTTAATTACTTGAGCGTGTTAATTCTAGGTTTTCTGTTCTACGTTAGGTCCACAAGCTGTCCAGATCCTGTTTTGGAAGTAGTTAATTTTCTTTCATTGGTTTTGCATGAGAAACTTGGGACGCTTAGTAAGAAAGCTAGTTTATTTGGCCCTATATCTATGTGTGTATGCGCGAGTATCATCTCCATTTTCAAGTGCACTGCTGAACTCATTATTCTTTGAAAGTTGGAATTACGATTATTTCTTTGTAACGGTCTTACAGGTAAACCGTTGCTATTCTTTGAAGACTTGGAAGATCGATTTGCTGCTCAGTCCTTGGTTTGCTCTTCATAAGTCGATACTCTACAGGGTGTGTATGACCTATTGTTTGAGGTGTCTGAATCTGCAAGTTTAACTGCCGAATCTCTTCTTTTGATGGCATCAGCGGGTGTAGCACCTGCTTCTGGATTGAGAGATGTAAATGCAAACACAGTTGGCATTGACAAATTACCTGATGAGATGAATGACATGAAAATTAGAGATGACAAGGTAAAGACAAGCCTCTGTGTTATCTTCCTCTGTCTGCATTTCTCTTTGCATTCCCCTTGACGCACCCTTGATGCATGCCCTGTCTATTTATGTTGAAACTTGTTAAACAAAATACAGGAAATGGAGGCAACTGTTGTAGATGGAAATGGGACTGAAACAGGACATATAATTGTGACCACCATTGGTGGTAAAAATGGCCAGCCAAAGCAGGTATATTTGTAATGGTTTGCATGTTCTTCTGAAAGCTATCTCTTTCTCTTTTCCTTAACTTGTATTTTACAGGAGGAAAATGTTACTCGGTTGCTTATTTGTTTTCCTCGTGATGACTGTAGACTATAAGCTACATGGCTGAGCGTGTTGTTGGACAAGGTTCATTTGGTGTGGTTTTTCAGGTTAGTTGTCTATTCTTTAGATGCCTGCTTTTAATTAGGTACTTTTGGAACTTTGTAATATAATGAGTATTATATGCTGTTTCGTCTTTATTATTCAGGCAAAGTGCTTGGAGACTGGTGAAACGGTGGCTATAAAGAAGGTTCTTCAAGACAAGAGATACAAGAACCGGGAATTGCAAACTATGCGTCTTCTTGACCACCCTAATGTTGTATCTTTGAAGCATTGCTTCTTTTCAACTACTGAAAAAGATGAGCTTTATCTTAACTTGGTACTTGAGTATGTTCCTGAGACTGTCCATCGGGTGATCAGACACTACAATAAAGTGAACCAAAGGATGCCGTTGATATATGTGAAACTTTATTTCTACCAAGTATGTTTCTGTATACTGTGTGGTCATGTCTTTAATTGTATTTATCGTACCAAGTATGTTATGAATAACACTGTGTTGATTCTCATGCCTTTTTTTTCTTGATAGATATTGAGAGCACTTGCTTACATTCACAACAGTATAGGAGTCTGTCACAGAGACATCAAGCCTCAAAATTTACTGGTGCGTTGATAGGGAAACTTGTTTCTTGAATGTTCCTCTCCAATACAATAGGTTAAAATGTGCTGTGCAAATTATGTGTGTCGCTTTATTTGCACTTATGATTTCTTTGTCTATTTTTGGTTCTGTTGATATTGACGGTATACACAATGTAACCTGTCAATATTATTCTGGAAAGTAAGCATGTGTAATTCATTGTCATGTTGTCATTGAAGAACTCTGACATTACAAATTGGCTTATGTTTCCTTTTTTTCAAAAGGCTGTCTTAAAAGTTATGTCTTAAAATCAATTATTATGATTAAACATTTGAACTTATTTGCATGAAATTGTCAAAACATATAAAATCTATGAAACTTTATGACACTGCAGTCTGCATAACACTTAATCAGAGTTGTAACTTATCGCATATACAAAATAATGCATGAATCAACTCAATTCTACGTGGCACTTTGAATTTGCATGCAGCTTTTTGCGTTCATTTTCAATGCAGCTTTGTTTTCTTCTCCGATAGAGTAATTTATGCACGAGTCAATTTATTTGCTTCCCTGTTACAGGTCAACCCTCACACCCATCAGTTGAAGCTGTGTGACTTTGGAAGTGCTAAAGTTTTGGTTTGTACATTCTTGTCTTGGAAACCCTGTATTCTGTTCCATTGGGTGTTGTATTTTTACATGACTTTATTTATTTATTTATTTTTTATGGATATAACAGGTAAAAGGGGAACCAAACATATCTTACATCTGTTCTAGGTATTATAGAGCTCCTGAGCTTATATTTGGTGCAACTGAGTATAGCACAGCTATTGACATCTGGTCTGCCGGTTGTGTACTCGGTGAACTATTGCTTGGACAGGTATTTAGCTTCCTCTTTTTTTTTTTAATTTGTGTTGTTGATGGTTGATTTTGTTACATTGAGAATTCATTTCTTTGTGGAAACTAAAAATAAGTTTTTTTATTCCAGCCTCTCTTCCCTGGCGAGAGTGGAGTAGACCAGCTTGTTGAAATTATAAAGGTGAGATAAGTTGTAAAGAATATTTAGATGCAAAAGTCATCCCCTGGCTCTTCATTCTGATGATGCTTACATCTCAATATCCATGGCATTCAAATGCAGGTTTTGGGTACCCCAACAAGGGAAGAAATTAAATGCATGAATCCTAATTACACAGAGTATAAGTTTCCCCAAATTAAAGCCCATCCATGGCACAAGGTATTGTTAACGTCCTTTTCTTCTATCCATTCACAGAAATTGTTGCATTGCAAGGTTAATTCAAACGACTCTCATCTACAGATCTTTCACAAGCGCATGCCACCTGAAGCCGTGGATCTTGTCTCAAGACTACTGCAATACTCTCCAAATCTTCGATGCACAGCTGTGAGTGTCTAGTCTGTCAAGATTAGTAGATGGTTTTTGACTTGGTAGTTTTCTAGATCATGTGGCATCCTTTCACTTCATTTTGCAATGTTTGTGGTTTATATAAAATCATTCAGTAACATACAAACGACTTTGTTGTGTTGTGCTCATTACTACAATTTGTGCTTTGTGCAATGTAGTTGGAGGGTCTTGCTCATCCGTTCTTTGATGAACTGCGGGATCCAAACACGCGCTTGCCAAATGGGCGTTTTCTTCCCCCACTATTTAACTTCAAGGCCAACGGTAAATATCTCTATTCCCATACGAAAAATAGTGATTAAATGATTTCTTAGTATTGAAGGGTTCTATGATGCTGATATTGATGCAGAGCTTAAGGGAGTGCCTGCAGAGATGCTGGTGAAGCTGATTCCAGCACACGCCCGAAAGCAGTGTGCTTTATTTGGATCATCGTGATTCGGCCTTCAGTTAAAATTCTAGTCTCTGCCTGTAGAATTGTATTGAAGTCTCCGTTCAGGTTGTGTTGTCCTGGTAATTTTTTTTTTTTCTTTCATCGCATGCCCGTACAAAGCTGTTTGAGAAGCTTCACAGTTCGAGGTTGTTTATAGAATTTGATGGGCTTTGCCAGCCCTCACGGTTTAACAGATTGTATTAACTAGAAAAGTTATTTATTTGAATATAATTGACCACCATCGATATGGCGTTGTGATCTGGATGGTAGCTATTCCAAAGCTTCTCCATCCATTATTTTCCCCTTGATTACGACAAATTTTGCAGTGGCTAACAATAGTCTTGCTTTCAAAGCATTTGTCATTTACGTTTGGCTTCTAGTTTTCGACGTTAGAAAGCGTGGCTACGTCCACGATTTTGGCGGTTGGCGGTTCGGGTTGCTGAAGAAGCTGAAAAGTATTCTGTACTTGTTGGGTTGTGGTTTATTTTTTTATGATTAATGTCAATATAAAATATGAAACATGACTCCTATTTCTCAAACTTCAGGCGGTAAACAAAGTCCTGCCTAGTAAAAACACAAGCGGCAAGTTTTTCTCACAACTTCATTCTGCTTCATGGATTGAAAACTGTGGGTAACGTATAAGATAATATGAATAAAACACAGTATATGAAAGATTAGATTAGCCAAAAAGTTTTTAGAATCAAGCAACTTAGGTGTGGGCATGTGGCATTGCAGGCTTACAGCTGGAGATGTGCGCTTGCGTGAAAGAGTTTGAAAACTTCTGCTTTTAATATTAATATCATACCATGTTATTAAAAAAAAAAAACGAATTTTTTTCCTTCATGCCATACAGGACTCGACAAAACACGTTTAGTTTCCTTTAAAAGAATGAGTTAGTGATTAAAAGTACACCACCTGACGGTAGTTTGGGGAGAATACAGAGCTTGGACGTGATGATACAGAGGCATCGAAGTTTGTGACAAATTGGAAAACACCAAAGACCAGTCCGGAGTATTTGATGATGAACATTTATATAAAATTTTCCTGAACTGCTGTTGTTTAAGAGAGGGCAGGCTTGGTCATAAGGAATTGCATTCGGTTCTCGATTTCAACCTTATTTGATTACTATTGTTGATTTAAATTAATTTTTTTAAATATTTTTAATATTATATTTGTTAATATAAAAAGGAAAAATTAATCTTTTAGTCCTCCAACTTTTAAGTCACTTGTAACTCAATCCCTCAACTATGACTCGTTGTGACTCAATCTCTCAACTATAACTCGCCTATGATTCAGTCCCTCAACTTTTGAATCACTTACAAATTAATCCCTTAATCTTTGTTAATTTTTTTTTCATATTAGCTTATATCTCACATTAATGAATAAGAAGAGGGTATTTTAAAATAATATATGAGCATTTTTTTATCCCTCTTATTTGATAAAAAAATTTAAAAAAATTAAAAAATAAGGACCGAGTTATAGGTAAATCAAAAGTTGAGGGACTGAGTCGCAGCGAGTTATAGTTGAGAGACTGAGTTACAAGTGAGTTAAAAGTTACAGGATTAAAAAATTAATTTTCCCATATAAAAAATATAAAAAAATTTAAAATTTTAATATACCTGTTCATTATCAATCTAATTAGTACAGATTTAATCTAGTAATTTAATTTAATATTAAAAAATTATAATTTTATAATTTAACTATGCAGATAAGCTGTTTACACTTCAGATATAATTTAAATGATTTAATTTAATATTAAAAAATTTAAAAATTTTATACATTAATCATTTACATGTATTCTAAATAATTCAAATTTAATATTTAAATTTTTTATATATTTTTATTTTAATAAATATAATATTAATTAAAAATATTTAAAAATTAATTTAAATAGATAATAAAGATTAAAAAAAGTTAAAAATAAAGTATCAAAATTATTCTTCATCCTGATGAGCATTTAGCACCGAATGCGGACGCTTGGTCAAAAGCACCTCTACCATAAAGTTTAAACAGCCTCTGTTAATTTTTGCGCCGAAAGGCCTTTCGTCCTGTCCATCCTCCTTCGCTTTAATTTTACAGACACAGATACCGATGACATTTGCATCCTAAAGGAAGTCCCACACATTCCTAAATTTTGTTCATCATCTTTTTTGGAATTAGAGGACCTTACACCGACAGGACGCCACAAGTTTATAAGTAAAATAAACCTGCGACCTCCCATTTACTCGAAGCTCGTATTCCATTCGATTCGAAGGTCATTGGCAAATTTAACTAATCTTCAGACTTCAACCGTGTCACGGGGCAAAAATAAAATATTTATTTTGATCCTATTCATAAAATAATTTAATAATTAATATATTTATTTTTATTATTTTATCTCTATTAAATGTAAAATTTTTTATTAAATGTTAAATTATTTTATTTTAAAGTGGGTATATTTAATAAGGGTAAAGTTTGAAACTTATTAAATTTTTAAACAATGTTAATAAGATTTAAGGTTTTCTTTTGTTCCAATAAAAATGTTAGAAATAACTAATAAATAGAATCAAAGAAAGTACTCTTTTCGTTTTTATATATAAGAGAAAAAAACTGTATCACATAATTTAAGAAAATTAGTTAACTATAATAATTATATTTAAAATTAAAAAATTAAACTAAAATACCTTATATTAATCAACATAAACATGCATTAATTATTTTTTATTAATATAAATCATGAGGAGTGACTTAAAAATATGTAATAAATACTTATTAAAGTGAGTAATTTTGCTTATAAAAAAATAAAAGTAAAAAGTAATAGTTTTTTTAATAATAAAAAATAGAGAGAATATTATGCATAACCATCTATTGATTAGCTTGGCCTATATGAATTCAAATCTAAAAGTCTGTTACCAAAAAATTAGTTATTTCTTTAAACCTAACTTTATTGATCGGTCTCAAACTAGGTCTATAAGCTTTTTTTATTTTCAAAATATTTTTAATTTTTTAAAAATTAATTTTTACATTATAATATTCATATTATTTTTTAAAAATATAAATTATGATGTTAAAAAATTTAAAAGAAGTAACATAAATTTTAATATTAAAATCTAAATTTAATTTAAAAATTAAAAATACTTCACTTTTTAAGAGTAAAATAAAAAAGATCTAAATAGGATGCACAAATTTAAATTTATTTTTATAAGGTTTAACAGAATTAGGCTTAGAAGCCCAATCATATTAAAAATCTTCTACTTTTCAAATCCTGAAAACACGTACTTTTATTTTCAATTCTACTAGGGTCCAGAGATAGCTCGAAAAAATGGGATAAAGTAGTGTTTAGTGTCTAGGATTATTTAGTATTTGGGAGGAAAAAGAAAAAGAAACTATAACTCGTGCAAATGAAAGATTATGCTATGGAAATGGAAGTGGGAATCAACCAAAGAACCGAAGCTGATACTCGCACTGAAAATAAAGGCTAGAAAGCTAATGCTATGGCACTATCTGAGAGTGAGAGTGACAAAATGAGTTGAATAATACTAAGCCACCACTATTGGTTCCCAGAGACTGTGCGAACTCAAAAAGCATCGCCAGAAATAATGGCACATCTACTTGAGCGGCGAATGTAGGCTACAACTTCAGAAACTAGAACATTCAGCTTCGCAGGGAACCGACGGTTACGAGTATTCAACTAATATCATGTGTTATTTAATCCATTTGCACACAAAACCTAACATTCGACTTTGTTTTCATGTATAATGTATCCTTGTAATCCATTCTTTGATATACACAGTGCTCGTAAGAAATTGGAATTAGCATTTTAGAGTTAAAAGCAAATGTCAATGTTCAAAAAGAGGTTAATCATTTGAGATTCATTTTCCGTAAACATCGGTTTGAAAACATCATCATGGGAGACCAGGGCACATGGGATTCTTAGCCAACCTCCCTGTAGGGTTATGCTTTTGGTAAAGCCGTTCTCAAGTCTTAATTAAGTGTCCATTAAATTAATTCCGCATATCAGGTCAGAGTTTTGATACAGGGTCATATTGGAATGGCGTGGTCAGATCAGACCAATAGAAAATGACAGATATGGGAAGAACATGGGAGGCTTACGGACTGCCCAGTCCTCTGATTTCTCGTTATTTCGTTTTGCTGCTTTTCAGAACAGCCATATATATGGAGAGTCCACATTGTATATTACAGCAAGGCCAAAGCCTATAATGTCTTTGTCGTTTTCCACTCTAAAACCATTAAATATTAGGTGACATGCAGAGCTTCCACCATGACTTGTTATCATATATGGTGAATCAGCCTTTTTGCAGCTGCATGCACTTCAAGTTCTCCAGACTCTGTTCAACCTCTGTTTTACTACTTATAGTGCTCATAGTGGGCCTTTAGGTCAGTTATTTTTACTTCCTGCAGCTCAGGGTGCCATAGCTTGTTCCTTAATTTGAGAGTCTTCTCCTTTTGTTGTTCACTGCAATAGAAGTCTCCCTTCTTTTCTAATTTTGTTCTGGTTTTAAAATCTCTAGAATTGGGAAATGCTTAAAACGGAGAGTTCCCATATTTCACTACTGGCATTCTGTATAATCTTTAGCCTACTTTGTTGCACCCAAGCAAGACATCATTCCCATACAAAACACAAACACTCACATTCTCATAGATCATCTAATCCTGAGAAGCAGAAAAACCATAATGCCACCAGTCATTTTGATGTAAGAACATTTGGGGGCATTGGGGATGGAATAACAGATGATACAGAGGCATTCAAGATGGCGTGGGACACAGCCTGCCGAAGCAAATCAGCAGTGAATGTTGTATATGTTCCCCCTGGTATCTCCTTCTTCATTCAGTCTACTATCTTCACAGGCCCTTGCCAAGGTCGCTTGGTTGTAAAGGTAACTGTACTTTGCACTTTTTGGCTCCTACATGCGTTAAGGGATAGGCATGTAAAGCTGAGTGGACTTTTTGGTAGGTTGATGGGACTGTTATGCCACCTGATGGACCTGAATCTTGGCCTAGGGATAACAGCAGGCGCCAATGGCTCGTTTTTTACAGAATCAATGGTATGTCACTTGAAGGAGGAGGCCTAATAGACGGGAGAGGAGAAAAATGGTGGAACCTTCCCTGTAAGCCTCACAAGGTATTGATAATTCAAATTAATGTCGAGAGTTTGAAAACTGTTATGCATCAAATTGTTGTTGATCCCTCTTTGAAGGGTACAGGGACCTCACGGGACAACATTGCCTGGACCTTGTGATAGCCCAGTTGTAAGTATTGGACTTTCTTCTCCATTTCGCATTTCTATCATTGCATTATAAATTTACAAGTGAACATAATAATGCTTGGTATGTTTATGATTCAGGCCATCAGGTTCTTTATGAGTTCCAATTTGACTGTGAAAGGACTGAGGATCAAGAACAGCCCCAAGTTTCATTTCAGATTTGATGGCTGCATAAATGTTCATATTGAATCAATCCACATAACAGCCCCGGCACTAAGTCCCAACACAGACGGAATTCACATCGAAAATACCGAGGACGTGAGAGTATACAATTCTGTGATTTCTAATGGTTAGTCACGAAACTATACCAGAAATTATAACCTCCCTCTAGTTCTCCACTTATTCCGTAATTTGTTGACTAATTTTTTTCAGGCGACGACTGTGTGTCCATCGGTTCCGGTTGTTATGATGTGGATATAAAGAACATCACGTGTGGACCTGGCCACGGGATAAGGTAGTTCTTTTACTTCTAACAGGAGTTTCAGTCCCAAATGTACTCGTTTTGTGAGCCAATCTTGACAAGTTTTTGCTGGATTCAGCATTGGAAGTTTGGGGAATCACAACTCTCGAGCCTGTGTGAGAAACATTAGGGTGAGGGAATCAGTGATAAAAGCGTCAGATAATGGGGTTAGAATAAAGACGTGGCAAGGTGGATCAGGATCAGTATTCCAAGTGACATTCAGTAACATCGAGATGAAGTGTGTGAGGAACCCCATCATAATAGATCAGTTCTACTGCCTCACTGGGGACTGCGCCAACAAAAGTTCAGCAGTGTTTGTATCAGATATAGTGTACACAGACATAAAGGGAAGCTATGATATTAGGAGCCCACCTATGCGTTTTGCCTGTAGTGACTCCGTCCCCTGCACCAATATAGCACTCTCAGACATAGAGCTTCTTCCTGCTCAAGGAGATAGAGTGCTTGATCCTTTCTGTTGGAATGCTTATGGAGATTCGCAGACACCCACGATTCCACCAGTCACTTGCTTGCGTGATGGTCTTCCTCGGTCCTCGTTAGACAATGACCTGGATCGTTGCTGATCCACCCCAGAAGCCTTTCTATAATTGTAAAATTAATGCGTGTGCGTACATAAGTTATAGGGGAATGGATGTTAGGAGTTGGGTTTTAGATGCTCCTCCCCCAATTAATTAATTGTTAAACTATGTCTTGTAATTAATCAGGTTTGGAATCGAAGTTTGAACTTGTTCGTATCTTAAGAGCTTCTCTATTTTGTTTGCTTAGAAATGAATATCATGCTCGGTTCTATAACAACGCAAGACTATTTCTTGCAGAGATCGCGGCTCTTCAGACGGACTTGATGTCTAACAGAATAACGTAAATTTTGTTTCCCACGATGACGAGAGAGGATTATGAGTTTAATTTGGTATTCAAATGCAGTATAATATAGCAAAATCCATTGACATGCGTGTGAACACTGCCAGATTAGAAAACAAACATGTAGAATACGAAAAACGGAGTTAAAAGAAAAGAGGACAATAATTATTAGAAAATAATTAATAAGCTTCATAATTAGAAGCGAATTTCCACGCTTGGCACTAATGAGAAGTGGTGAAACGTGACTTGGGACATTACAACGTAAAATATTTTAAAAATGAATAAAGGGAGACAAAAACAGAGAGAAGATATAAGATAGTATACCAGTATTATTTTACTCGCTCTTCTTTTTTATTGCTCATTTCTTATTTTACAGTGGAGATACTGAAAAGGGAGGAGGATGGAGGGAAAAATTGGGTTTTTCAGTATTGCACGCGCAAAATGATGGGTCGCATTCTTGAGGCGCAAAGAAGGTAGGTAGAAGCTAGACGTGCGTTCACAAGGAAAATGAAAAGTAGAGAGGGAAGTGTGGAACACAAGCATTTGGCCGATCGTTCAACGTGTCATTATTGTTAATACGACCAGACCACAGTACCCGGTCCAAGATGCCTTTGGGTGGCCATATGTTTTAAATGCGTCAAAGAACAGCATATACATCTGGAGAATGCTTGTATTCTTTTTAGAGAAGAGACACTGTGGGGCAGAATAAGAGATTGGTAATGATAAAATTGGGAGTGATGTCGCAGAGGGAGGGAGGCAATGGCTTTATTTGGAGCTTCATAACTTTCAACTGCTAGATCATTAAAGGGACAGCCTAGCATGCATATGAGCAATGGAAGGCTCTGCCTAAAGTCATCCTAGTCCCAGAGAGAGGAATACGACATCAATGTCATCAAGCATTCAAGTGTAGGAGACCGCTGTGGACCTCGTCCTTCTTACTTTAGCTTTGGTTTTAACCATTCCAAATTAATTAGATGAGGAATCAGATGGCCTGACTACTTGGGAATTAAGTTTGGATCTTTTCTAGTGTGATGATATTACATTTATCTATTATCTTCTGGGAGTTCCGATACTACTCCTTCCATCCCATTTTATATGATTCTTTTGAACAAAATCACATATATAAGTTTAATTTATTAAATACATTTTATAACTTTTATTCCTTTAAAAAAATACAAACTTTTAAAAATATTTTTCATTCAATACTTTCATTTGTGAAAATATTAAAAAGAGAGAATATAACAAAAAGGATGATATTATATAATTAACAACAACGACAATAAGACTTACCTCATTAGATGGAATCAGCTACATGAATTATACAACATCATTATATTCTATCATTTGTTAAATTTTTAGAGATATTTTTGTTAAGTTGTCTTATATTTTGAAATGTTAAATCTTCTTAAAAAAATCTTATAATTTGATATGAAAGTAGTATTATATATAATAATAATAATAATAATAAATTTTTTTTGGAAGTTCCATACCTACCAAGAGCGTGTTTAAAATGTGATTGTCTTTACTAGTTGAAAATATCCGGGGAATGCTGAACAACGCAGTGAACGCACTACATGGGCCTTGATTTCATTAATCATAGATACTGGACCGCCAGTAAGGCGTACGATTGATAACCCCGCCGTCCCCTGGTTTCGTTCAAAGATTTTATTTATTTTTTATTCTTTTGCTTCTTCTTTTTTTTTTTTTACTTCTTCTTTTCTTTTGCTGGACAGGACGAGAGGTTTAATTAATTTTTCTCACTTTCCTTAAATATTTACAATTTTATCCAAGATTTTAACTGTAGGTGATATGCAATTGTATACTCTATTGTGAGATAAAAGAATAGGACAAGCTCGCTTGGATTTTAATCCTCAAATGGTTTAACTTTTCTTTTGGTGGAATCTGATTTCCCTTTTTTTGTGCACCAGGTTCTTCCTCATACAGCCTTCTTTTGTTTGTTGAATGAATTCTCATTTCCAATCTGACAAAAAAACAAAAATAAAAATAGGGCTAACTCTTCTTGATTGTGTTTAATCCATGTACAAGAGGAATTGAACCCTAGCCATCCACGAAATAAATTTGGGTTTTTTTTTTTGGGTTTGTTGGGGGGGGGGGATATATATTTTTTGTCAGAATGTGGCGCCAACTGTCAAGAAAATTCAAACACATTGTTATATTTTCCAGAATCATTTGGAGAATAAGAACATGAAACGATAATAAAAATCTTGAAATTTAAAGAGAATGATCAGGGCATGGATTGAAAACTTTTAAAAATGAAAAGGAACAACAATAAACTTTCAAGAGTATAGTAAAGTTATGGAAAAATTAATCCTATGATTCCTATAATTTTGATTCAATTATAAATTAATCTTTCTAGTTTTAATTTGATTGTAATTTAATTCCTGACCTTCATCTCTTACAATTCAATCCTTATAATTTTAATCATTTAATATTAATCCTTATATTATAAAAAATAAAATTATAAATATTAAAACTTTTAAAATTTTAATCTTTATACTTTTTATAAAGATTAAAAGGGTTGAGTAATTTAAAATATTAGTCCTAAATTTTAACATTATTTTAATCTTCATAATTTTATTTTTAAAAAAATATAGAGAGCAATATTTTAATTGGTTAAAATTATAGAAATTAAGTTATAAGAGTCAAAGTTTAAGAATTGAACTATAATTGAGTCAAACTTTTAAAAATTAAATAATTTTTTTAATTTATTTATACACATGTATCTAATATTTAAGATTTTTTGTGACCGTCGTTTATTTTCCAGAAGAGTCTAATTTACTATAAATTAAAATACATAGCTGACAATTATCCCAAAAAAATAAAATAAAGATGGCTGACAAAGGGGAGCTGCTGTGTCGTTGATTACTGATTTTTGTTATTAATGATGTAGTGAATAGAACATTTTTAATCGGAGTAAAAATCTCTCCAGTGGATAGAACATGTTATTTAGATAAGCTTTTTAATGCTCTTAATGTTTTTTATCTCTAGCAAAAAAAGGTAAAAGTGTGAAATTAATAATCAACTATTTTTTTAAAAACACTAATTTAGATTATGAGGAGATATGAAATAATTTTAATTTCTAAAAACAGGGCATTTAGCATTTATGACTAATTTTCACTTGGTGAATGTTAACTTTTCACACGAGGCTCATGAAATTTCAACTGAAAAAAGACATATGACATTTCATCTTAACAAAAACCTTTTTTTTTTGGTTAAAAAAATCGACTGACATTTCATCTTAACAAAAACCTTTTTTTTTTTTGGTTAAAAAAATCGACTGTCTTTTTCTTCCATATCATCCCAATCGACTGAAGGAGAAAAAATAAAAAATAAAAATCCCTCTCCTCCTCTGGTCTCAACCCACCGGTGAACACGCGCGGCAGCATCACCTTCCTCCCTTTCAAACTTGACTTCAGCTCCCTCATGTACCCCATGTCCATCGACACATCCCACTCGTCCATTTTCTCCTAAAACCCTCACAGAATAACTCGCGCGCCACTGCAGTCCTCGAAAGTCGAGCTCACCACTCGCAGGCTTTGTATTGTGAATTCCTACAACAGGCTGCTAGGTCTAGCGTTCGGGTGAGGCAAATACTCGCACGATTGAGGGATTGATTCAAAAAAAAAAATCAATATGCTATCGTTGGAGAGAGTGTGAAATTTCTGGGTTGTCGTTTATGATTTCTCCTCTCTGCGGGATTTCCCTTTCCTCTCTTGGAAATCTTCCCGTCCCTTGACATCTGTTTATATTCTGCATAATCAGCAGTAATTGTTCTCATTTTGCTTTACAGCTATGACTTTTTGAGGCTGTTGATTGTTGAACTGATCATTAATATAATCTTAGTCATGTTTGACAGTATTTTAGAGTGTATTTTTTACTATGATTTAGCTATTTTACAGGACTCCCATATCATTAGTACACAACAATGCATTGCTGGACTCCTGAAATGCTTACTAGCGACAGCGACGGCGGAGCAGGAAGTGTGTCTATTTGGACAATGAGGGTTGTGGCAGGCGGATCTGAAAGTGCGGCATCAGATTTCGGTGATGGGTGGGGGAGACGGGATTTGGGTAGCATGGGTTGGTGCTAATGCTGAGCTAACCAAGTTTTGAGGAGGGAACTGGCTAATTGGGCACGGTGGAATACGATGGCGACGCAGCGGGAGGAGGGTTGCGTTGGTTTGTCGAGGCAGAGATGGATGGCCTTCTCATCCAGAACCAAGCCGTGCGATTTGTTGGAGTTGCCACGTGTATAGCCACATAGGTGAAGATTTCGTCAAAAATATGGCCAACTGACATCTATCCAGCGACAGTTAATGAGCGGCACTGAATGTTCTGTTTTTTAAAATTTAAGATTTATTTTACATTATTTTATAATATAGACTGTCACACACTCCTTAAGAAATAATTAATAACTAAATTTATATTTTTATTTTTTTAAAAAAATAATTTATTAATTTTAAAAAATATAACTCTTATAAATTATGAATGAAGTTTTTAAATATTTTAAAATATAATATATTCATAAAATTAATTAAATGTATTTTTTTTATCCTCAAAATAAATTTATTATTAAAATAAAATATATCTAATTTAGTTAATTTTTAAATAATTAAATATTTTATTTTTAACATAAAAAATTATATTGTATGTGCTTTCTTTTTGATTTGTCACCTTTGAATTTTTTTTTATCAAATTTTTTGATCTTATTTTTTTAAATCATTATATTCATCTTTCATACAGTAATTTTTTTTATTAAAATTTTTGATCCAATTTGTCTGGATCACTTTTTTTATCATAGAGTTTTTCCTAAAGTCGATAATTTAAGCCAAATCTAACGAATCAGGCTAAACCCGCCTAAAAAATTTAGAGCTAAGCTCAAAAAATAATATTTTTTAATGTTCGAATCTATTTAGGTAGCTTGAATAGGCTCAAAAAAATTCAAGCTAGGTCCAATTAAATTTAACCCGAATGCCCAAAGAAAAAAATAAAAAAGTTTAAAATATAATAAATATTAATTAATTCTTTAAGTTTTATATTATTTTATACTAGAATACCATATATTTGAGTGCATTATAATTGATTCCTATGCATCTTTTGTGTATCCAAAAAATATATTATATATTTTTTATAAAATAAGATAATTAATTCTAAAGTAAAAATAAAATTCAAGCATGTGTGAATTTTTAATTTTGCTATTAGATAAATATAATAAATAAAATAATATTCTTAGATAATTACTTGATTATCGTCTACATCAAATTTAGTTAAAAATTAAGAATGAATAAATACCTCTTATATGTAGGGGTTAAATAATACAAAAAGTTACAATTTTTTTTAAAGAATAGTATTTTACTCAAAATTAAATTATTTTATTTTATATAATATAATAATACCTATTTTCCTCATATTCTTAAAAATAAAAAATATAATTTACCCAAAATTTATTAAAAATTTGAACTAACTGAGGTAAAGTTAATGGTCTAGCTGTAATTAAATTAAGATTAATTTAATCATAATTAAAATAATATAATTTAATTAAAATATATAAAATATTTTTATATGACCATAATAAAATTAATATTTAAACAACCGAGATATTAATTTACAAGTAAATAAAAAATTTATAAATAAATTATGCGTAATACAACAAAATAGTAACAGAGCTACTTGAGTAAAAAGTTAATAAGTTATTATTTTTTATTTTATTATTTTAAAGTTAAAAAAAATATTCTATACTTAATAGAATTATTTGAAAATTAAAATTAATTTAAAAAATAAAAGAAAAATATTTTTAAAAAATTTTTGGGTATTAAGGCCAGCCCGAATAAGCCCAAAGCCCGAAAGTGTTAGGGCCAAGTTTAGCTATATGGGTTTTTCAAAAATAATAGAATGCTTTAAGCTTGATCTAAATTGAACCCGACTTGAATAAGCTCGACTCACCCAAACTACCGACTATAGCTTTTCCTCTCCCTTCTTCTCTATTTTTTCCAGATATTATGAAGAGGATATTAAATATTGAAGAGGAAACTCTATTATTGATATGTAATATTATATCATTGATACATGGTTGTATATCAATGATAGACAAATTAATAAATTTTCACTGATATAACTTATATATCAGTGATATACTACCGTAGATTAACATAACTAGACAATCAGATATAAACTTATTTTTAATTGATATATAGTCGTATATAAATAATGCAGTATCACATATCATTAACGTGAAAAACACATAATCATTTGCTCAAAATAGATCAAATATGGTCCATAAAAATTTTAGACTCTTTGTTTATCACAAAAAATCAAATACCTAAATTAATAAAATAAAAAATTATGAATCTGTAGCTCTGTTTTTCTGTTAACATGCTCTATTTCATCGAGTATCATCGATATATCTCATCTTGCATCTGTCTCTCACCATTGCGACTTTATTCACTCACATTGCTTTGCTATCTTGCGTTTATCCCTCTTAGGTTGAGTTTCGCCTTCTCTTTCAAGCTTGTCTCTCTTGTTCCAGAAACCTCTTACATTTTCAATCTCTCAGTATTTGAAAAAAAAATATTAAAAAAGGTAATTTTATAAATTAATTATAAACTAAATATTAAAAAAGTCATTTTTAAAATTTAAAAAAGTAGGTTATTTTTTTTTTAATTGGCCTTTTATATGCAAAAGCCCCAAAGAAAATGCAACTCTGTTTGACTGGATTGCAAGTTGACGAGGGAAGTCTTTCTTTAATGTCTATTGGAGAAAATATTTGGAAAGCTTGTTCAGACGGTGGTTAGTGCCTTAGTGGATAGTGATGTAAGGGAAGCGACGTCACTATTAGGCCTCACCATCATAAAGAATTTGACATGATTTTAACCAAATTAACTATCTAACCTCTCCTTTTCACCAGAGAGCCCCGAGACACACGCTCCCCTTTTCCTCCGAATTTAAATGCTTCTTTGTCACTCTCAACCAAAACCAATAGGATTAAAAAATCTTTTTTTTTTAAATAGAATCGAAGGGAGTATATATAAGGTAAAAGAATTTCATGAGCATAGAATGATAGTTAATATTTTTAAAGTTATAAAAAATATTTAACTTTTTAATCCCATCTTTGGCATAAATTAGTGACGACAATAAAATATGTTTAGGTATTAAAAGTTTGTCAATAATTTAATGCAATTAAGAAGAGATAATATTAAAAAAAAACAACTACTACATTTTTATTCTATATTCAATATCAAATAATAACATGAGTTTAAAACTTCGTTCTGTGACTAAAAACGGAGAGCACGTTAAATTATTCTGCACGCCACACCCCACACCGAAATCCTGTGCTCTCCTTCTTCCAATTGGGAAGCGACAACCCATTATGCTTTTGTAAAGAAGAGGCCACGAACGGGGGCGCGTATAGTTGATTGTTTAATTGAAATTGCGATGGATTTAATTAGCATATAGCACCAATATGATTTTGCAACGGAATTATTTTGGTTAGTGTATATACAGTACTACATGGAATACCTTTGTTATTAATATTTGACTGGGAATATATACGTCACAATAATAGCTCGTTTACTATACTTCCCGGCATGTTAATATTCTACTTGTAGATTCCTTTGGCAGCAGCGGATGTCCTTATAGCCAAAGGAAGCAGCCAGGAAACTGCATGCTGCCACTATTTATTTTATTGGTCCTTCTCTCTAGCACTGCGGTCTCTTTTTCTTGGAAAATTCCTCTCTCCCTCCTCCCCACACATTCTTTCCTTCTTTAAATCAAAACCCGTGAACATGGACAGTGCCAGCAACAGCAAGAAAAGGAAGATTTTCAACGAGGAGGATGAAGAAGATGATGATGAGATCAAAATGGAGAAATTCTTCGCCCTCGTCAGAAGCATTCGAGAGAGCCGCGAAAAGCTGATCAAGTTCGGCTCAGATGCGTGTGGGGAGACACAAAATGGGAGCGACAAGGTAATTAAGAATGGAGTGGGAGTTTGGAAGCCCCAGTTTGAAATAGAAGATTTCATAGAAGCAAATCCTCATCATCATCAGAATCGAAGCCAAAAACATCCTCCTCTGCACTTCTCTCTAGCAGATCATGCGTCTCGTGATAACAAGAAAGCGGCAGACGAGGAAAGGGAGGCAGAAAAGGGCATGAATCTCAACCTCTCGCTTTGAAGAACGATCTTCTTGTTCTGTAGCCCTCTTCAAAGCTCGTTCGCAGATTCAGGCACTTTAATTGATTATCCAGTCTCTCGAGTTTTCTGTATTCTGCAACTTGTACACCTCATGGCTTTCATCTTAGTGTTTTCAGCCACAAGTTTCGCACCCATTTGATCGAATAATTGCCTTCTTGTACGTTATATATTATCCTATCTCGGAGATAGATTTGGCTGGTTTCTGGCTGTCGCGTCCTCTTTCGCGGATTGAGGGTTTCAGATTTCAATTTCGCCTGCGCTCTTGCTCTTCCATTTAGTTTTTGATTCTTTTCTTCAATATTTCCATCTTATTCTCCTAATTAATTTTAAAAATACACGCAGTAGAGGTTAGTAGGAAAAAGTATAACAAGGGATACTTTCCGGTCAATCTGCAGGCTTATTAGAGTAATTTTCTTTGACCCACATATATAATATATGAGGATACATTTTAATATAATAGTCTTATGTTTCGTTTGTTGCTTTGTTGAGAAAGAAGATTAGGAAATAAAGGGATTTTAATGCCCCCTTATTTAAGTTTTGAAGAGAGTTCAAAATAATAATTCATTGAATTACTGTTATGCAAGTACGTATGTTCTTTTGTTTTTTTTTTACCCCTCTTTTTTTTTGGTTAAAAAATTTATGTGTGTATGATTTTGGCATAAAGGATCTTGTAAAAGAATAAAAAATTTCTCTTTTTTATATAAAAAATTCTTTGCCGTCTTCAAAGATGTTTAGACTAAATCAAAATTGACAATGCGAAGGCATATAAGCGGCTTGTATTTTTAAAATACAACAAAGAAATTCGTTCAATTAAATCCTATTAATAACGAAATATAAAGAGGGAAGATTTATACTGTTAAAATAATAATTGAGCCTGTGTAAGAATAATTTTTTTAATATTGCCTCTCATTTTTCTGGCCTCCCCTCTCATTATTTCATTTCTTAAATAATTTTATTCTATTTCTTTTTAATGAAGAGTAATTTTAAAAATTTATAAAAAAAATTAAGAATGTAAACTTTATTTAATGAACTTGATTGATATATACTTTCTTCTATCTTTATTATAAAGCACATCTAATTACCTCTTGTTATGAGGACAAAATATTTTCTAAAAAGCTTCATATAAGAGGAACCTGAGGGAGTATAATTTTATCAAAAAAACATCTTATAAATTAGTAGAGAGGGAGTGGTACTTATCTATATTCAATTGATATATAATATAAAATTCACCCACGAGGAAAAGAAGATGCGACATATAATTAATAATAATATAAAACTCACACACGAGGGAAAATAAATAAGGATGCCAAAAAAGGATAGAAGGATTGTGTTGTCATCCTCCTAAACTCAATTATCAATAAAAAATTAATTATATTGAGTGACACTTTTAAAGTAATTTTTTTCAAAAAAATCCACGAAGCCACTGCACATGATAAGGATCCCATATACACTGCTTCTATTATATTACGATGATACAGTAATCACATTAATATCATTCAAGCTTAAATGAACGCGGTTTCATTTCATTTTTCCGTTTTTTCGGGTAAACGTTTCACATTCGTCAGCCTCTGTTGGAAAGTTATAACAACCGATGGTGTGACCCATATCCTGGTCCTGGAGAAGGCGTGAATCACAATATTGTTCATTAAAGTTCCTTAGAAAAACTGCACGTCGTATTAATGGTCTCGATTTTGGTGTTTTAATATCTAATTATCACAGAAAAAACAAAGTTTGTTAACAGTACTTTCCCGTTCTCATTTGCACTTCGCTTTAATTTTTTCTATTTCATACTGTCAAGGTTTGTTGAGATTAGCCGCAGCCTGAGCTTTTTAAAAGATTATTATAATTAGTATAATTTTCTTAAAATTACTCTCATTTTCGGACGAACTGGAATTTACCGATTCCATGTCTCACACAACGTGATTCTTGGTATGTATGTACATATACAATTCTTCCTCTCTTTTATTTACCATGGCCGTCGGCCGGTAACTCCCTCCATATCATGCATGATTTTCCGGAATGCGTACACGCAAAACGAAGCTCTACCAAGTAAATGCTCTTGGCTTCTTGATCTGCGTTCACGGTGAAGGAGATAATTTGTGAATTGTCACCTAATGCCACGTGTCGCCCATGCAAATCAGCAATCAATGTATGGGGGACCTCAAACATTATGAGAAGGGGGTTCGACCCAAAAATAAAAAATAAAACAAAGAAAAAAAATGTAAGAGGAGAGGCCGTGTCTGATGCAACACCCCTCCTCAAAAAAAAAAAAAAAAACAGAGAGTCATGATATATCTTTTATTTTTAATTAAAACAAAGCCACACTGCATTATTTTTACAGGTATTATATGTATACAGCACAATATAATATGCATACATTTTTTTTATTCGTACTTTTTTGGTTCGATCTATAAGATAGAAAGAGAATATTTATTCTGATCCTATTTATAAGATATCTCAATGAATATTATATTTATTTTTATCAATTTGCTCATATTAAATGTTGGGGGTGATATTAAATACTAGAGTCTTTTATTTTTAAAATATGTATATTTAGCAAGAATAAAGTTGAAAACTTGTTGAATTTTTAAATAAAGTTAATGAGATTTAAAATTTTTTAAATTTTAATAAAAATTAAAAATGACTTATAAATAGAACTGGAAGGAATATATTTTAATAAAAAATATATATTATATTTAGTTATTTAGATATATGGTATCTTGTGTTTTTTTTCAGTTTTCTTGAGAAATTTTTGTAATTATACTTCCAATAATTAATATAATAATATACTTTAACTATTAAAATTAATTTTAAAAATTAAATATACATTTACTTTTAAAAAAGAATTGGCCCCCCACTAATTTTTAAAACTGGCTTCGCCCCTGACTGCCAGGGAGCCCGCTGATTGTATGGCAAGTGCTGTGTGCTAAACATGGTTAGCGCATGTGGGTTGGTCTGGCTGGTGTACCCTCATATGGTTGCTCTGATGTAAAGTTCTGCGCGTGTTAGCGTGCGTTTGAGGGACAGTACATCCCACGCATTCTCATATACATTAAAGCTAACGCTGACGCATGTTTCCCAAAAACAAAAAAGAAAATCTACCACTCGTTTTCTCCTATTCTTCTTTGTTATTTTCAGCCTTAATCTTGGTATTTAAAATTGTTTGCACAATTATATTTTAATTTGGTAATATATTGTATAATAACAAACTAATAAAGTTTTCTTTTTTTTTTTTTCTATATGAACAGGAATGCGTGTTTGGTGAGACGGAAGCAGTAGGCGGTGCGTTTAGCAGGGACGTGGGGCCGAGGAAGAATGATGTCGTCACTAGGAGGTCCGGGTGAATACGTGTAATGACGTAGATAAAGATTCCGTGGCCCCTACCAGACCCACCTCCAATCAACGTGCCCCCAAAAAGCACTGGGATGCGATGATCATCTGCCAAAGTGAGTGCGTGGCATATGGGCAATCGAGGTGTCCTAGGAAGAAGGGCGACGCAATATTCTGCATCGCCCTGTCGCGCGGTCGTCACCTTTTTAGATGCCATGAAGCAGCGTTCAGGACACGAGCTTTAACCTAATCAGAGCAAATTAAGCAGCAAGTGGCCGGTCTGGATGGACGGCATTGGTGGAGGAGGAAGCTGCAGAAAGAGAAAGAAGTGCGACCACCCGCCGGTCGAGGAAGACGATGCTGACGATGAATCAAAGATGGACAAGTTCTTTGATCTGATCCTCAACCTCGGAGAGAGCCTCAAGCGCCGCGTTGGCGGCTGGCCATTGCAGAGAACCGCTGGAACAAGAGGATCAAGAGAGGGTGGGAACCCCCGTTTGAACTCCAAGATTTCGCCGGCAATCATGGCGTTGCCGCAGGTTCCACTCCTCTTGCCGTCGCCGTCGACGATGGCACGGCCCCTCCTCCAACTGACCTAGACTTGTCCTTTTCTCTCTAGCTTCCTTCCCCGCTCCCCGCCAAAACCCACTGCTCTCTCATTATCTCTGTATTTTCTTATCCTCTTTTAACGTAACTTGTGCCTCTGTTCTGTCATCTCTTTTTTACCGGACCTGTTCTCTCTATGTCCTTCCTCTTTCATTTTCTTCGACATTTCTCTCCTCAATGTCTTCGATTTTAAAATAAGACGCAAGACGTTGCATATCGTCCCTAAATTCTTACTCGGAGTCTTTGAAAAATGGCTTCACTTTGAGAACTCGATAAGTATAGCACTTTTTTTAACTATTCATTTCATATTATAAACCAGAAGGACGGTAATAAATGTCAAGCGAGTTACCATTATTCACTGTACAGAGGAGATGCAGATGAATGGTTAAATGTCAATAGAAATGAACCATTTGTAATCCTCTATTTCCTCCGAAAAATAGCCCCATTAGAATGTTAAATCTCTTCGTTTTTTAATTCGGCTCGGAAAACATAAGCTCTTGATCGTGTTCTTGGTGCATCGTGTATAATGACTCGCACCATGCATGATCCATTTGTATTGTACACGGTTAAACTTGACCCCCCCAGGATGCAGGGGAACATGGAATTAGTCAAATGAGTTGTGTGGCAGATATTTATATTCTCTGAGTGGCTAGAACACGTGGTAATCTTATTTTGTAGATTACTGATTATTTAGTGTTATTTTTTTAGACCCCCATGAAAACATTTGGGAGCATAGTGTATTAAATATAACCTAAGTAAACTACTTGTAGTTGTATTTGAACGATGCACAGGCGCAAGAATTGCTAATAGCTTTTGCAAGATTGATCTAAAAGTCTCCCAACTCTGAATACATTTATAATGTATAATTTTCATGTAATCAATTATATAAATGGGCTTGAATTGAAATATAGCCAAACACATGCTCATTCTATAAATATTTTCTTTAATCCATTTTTCCTGTTTTTTAGATATGTTAATTCATCACCATTATATTTTATACTATCCCAATTCCAATATATTTTTTAGGTATTATTATTATAATGTTATATATCACTATATCAGCAGCCAAGAAGGGCGTGTTTAGATAGCTACAAATACTTAATTATGAAGACCCAAACCATAGTTTATAATACGCACGCAAAGAAACAATCTTTTCCATTTTCCCAACTCCTTTTCGGCATAAGTTAGTCTCTTTTTCCATTTGAGAATTGATTTTCACTTTTGAGCATTCTTCTTTATGTTTATCCCTTCATATAGGTTAATTCTATCAATATTTCATTATAAAATGAATGTCCCTTATTGTAGTTTGCATATTTATAATTAATTTTGAAAAATCATCCAAAAATTTGTCATTTTTATCAAAATCAGTTTTAGAAAAGTATTATCCAAACATCATCACATACTGTTAATCAATTTTTTTAAATATAACTTCCTCTTTATCTCAACACGTTAATTCATTGTCATTGTGATTATAATTTATAAGATCCCAATCCCAATAGATTTTTGCAGGTATTATTTAGGCCCATTTTTTTTAGTTTATTTCATAAAAAAATTATTTATTTTTTTAAATTATGTTGTGAGTTTATTTTTATAAAACAAAAATTAAGAAATATATTATAAAATTTAAAAATAATTAACTAATAATCATTTTTTATTACTGTAATCAAATATAAAAGAATGTCCCTTTTTTTAAAAAATATCTACAAAATAAATTTTTTTATAAAATTTTTAAACTGCCTTAAATCACTTTTTTTTTGCCAATATCTAAAAATAACTTATTTTTTAATCTTAAACAAACATAGCCTTAATGTCATGAGACAGTAACAAAATGTAACAAATCGCATACAACAATATAACAATTCGAATGAAAAGGAAAACAAAAATAAAAACAAACCCAACAAAATCGCAAAGCTTGGCACAAAACTACAAAAGCATTAAAGTGAAAAACTCAGAATCGTTGAAAGATAAAACTGGCTTAAACAAATACTTCCTCCATTTCTATTTATAGGAGAAAAGAGCTGTATAATATAGTTTAAAAAAATTAATTAATTATATTAATTATGTTTGATAATAAATTTTTTTAACTATAATACCTTTTATTAATTGTGTTAATCTAGTCTTTATTAATTATTTTTTATGAGATGAATTTATGAGAGATGATTTAAAAAGTTTATAATAAATGACTATTGAAAAATGTGATTTTATTTATATAAAAAATAAATTAAAAGTGATAGTTTTTTTTTATAAATAAAAAAGGAAGGAGTAGAACATAAACTCAAAAACAATAAATAAAACTGTCGTACAAAAGAAACGTGCAGGAAATCACCACGTTCTCATCTCAAGGCAATATCCTCTATGTTTGGGGTAATTTAAAATTTAAAAACAACAATTTTTTAACCCAAACCCAACACATTAATTAAATCATATCCTATAATAATATTTATAAAAAAAATAAATGTACCATAACCAATAGAATAATGACACCTTGTTGTTACTGTAGAATTAATAGTAACCAAGATTATATTTTATTAACGATAAGATATATGTACACTAAATAGAAAAATAAATTCATCTCAGAAAAGAAAAAACTACCAAGGAAACGAATAGGAAGAAAAAAAAATCCGCGTATTGAAAATAAAAATAATTCTATGCCAGCAAAGTTTCACCGGTCTATCTCAAATTCAAGTCCTAAATCAAAATAGGCCTTACACCTTTCTGGCGTTGACACCAGAGGAACGGGCGATTCAAGTACGTACAGGATGGACGCAACAAAAAATATTGTTCATAATTAACTAATTTATCTAATTTTTTACTATTACTCAACATTGGTGTTAGGTAATTTTATCCAAGATATTATCTCACTTTAAACATGAACACTTTTTTTAATAAAAATTTAAATCTTAGTTCATCGTATTATGATAGATTAACGTCTTCTACTAAACTTAAATCCTGTTAGTATTTATCTCATTTTTTAAATCTATACAAATTAATTATTTAGCTCCCACATTTGAGATTGAAGGGAATTCTACAGAGTCCTATGTTAATTTATTAACTGCTCCATCTGTCTCAGGTTCATTCTACTGGTCTTTTTAATTTTTAGAATAATTTTTTTCAATTTGTTGCCCATTATGAGTTTTTCTAGGATTTCAAAGCAATACTTACAATGTCATGATTTCACTTCAACCTGAAACAATTAATTAATTGGTGACATTTATATATCGGATGGATACTGGATACTTTTAATTTAGCCAAAATTTAAATCAACCTTAAATTTCATTGATAATTAGTACATTTAACTTATGGTTATTAAATTTCATTGATAATCAGTACATCTAACTTATGGTTACAGCCTTGATATTTGTTCTCTATAAATATTTTGTTATTCTTGAAACACATAGAGTTGGGAATTTCTTTGGGGTGCTTGAATTCTTGAAAAGTCTAAATAGTCAAGCCCGATTTAAATACTTAAATTTTATTTTTAAAATTATTTTTAATTAATTTTTTACTTTAAAATTAATTATTTTATTTTATAAAAGATATAAAATATATTTTTTTATACTTAAAAGATGCATGAAACTCAAATATATAAATTTTTAGTATAAAATGATATAAAACTTAAATAATTAATTAATATTTATAATGTTTTATATATTTTTTAAAAATAAATTTTTTATTTAAGTATTTGTGCTAAGTTTGATCCCATTTGACCTAAGTATTTAAAAAATATTTTTTTAAGCTTGATTCGGGCAGATTCGGGCTAACTTGATCCGAATTTTCGGTTCCAGAATCACGGAGGGCCGCATGTCAATCAATACTCCGGTGAATGAACAGCTCAATGCTGCGCTCGCAGTCAGGTTGGGGGCTGACGATGGAAAAGCCATGTACTCGTATTTCTTGATATTGACTGAGATCCACATGAGGTTTCTCTTTAATCAAGGTTGCCTTATATTCATTTATCTAACTTTTAACAACGGCGCTAATTGGCAGTGGAATTGAAATTCGATTGGCGCTGAGCTGCGTTGATAAAGCTAAATATTCCACTTTTTTGTTGTGACAACCTGGTCCATGGTGCGCCTCAAAGCTCATGCGTCTAATCAATTTGTTTGTCATGATTAAGGAAGGCTTGACTGAGAAGCAAATATTACTGTTCACTTTGCCTCCTCAAAGCACTTATTTTCATAAAATCAAATAATTGCTCCTGTCTTGTATATTCTTTTCCTCCTAAATTATAAAAAATTTTTAATATAATCTTACATATCAATAATTTTTTATAAATATATTTAACAATATTCATAAATACACAATATAATATTTATAAGTGTATAATATAATATTTATAAATTTTCAAGACAACATTTATATGTGTTAATATATGAACATTTAGTTGAGAATGCACGAATATTTATTGTTTATCAATGGATATTATATATTATATGCATTATTTATACATTTTATTAAACCTACCAATCAATTAGACACGCATGGATATTGTATTATATATCAATGGAATTATGCTATGCATGATTTGAGTTTTCAAATCACATAAAGGTAAAATTATACTTTCACCCTGAAGAAAAGTTGCAATAATAACCCTTAAATTTATAGTGTAATTTTTGCCTCTTTTGAGGCCTACAGTGTGATTTTCCCATACTTTTATCACATGTAGTACACAATATCAGAAACAATGAGGCAAGGGTAGCAAGAAAGGATGAAAACTAATATGATTGTCTTTTAATTTTATGTATAAGTAATTTTTAACATGTTTTATTAAAATTAAAAAATATATTAAAACTCATCAACTATATCTAAAAATTTAGTACGTTGTTAATTTTATTTTTATTAAATATATATACTTTAATAGCATATCTTTTCTCATCAACATCTAATAATGGGTAGAGGTAGAGATTTATGATAAAAAATTAATAATATGATT